GCCTACAGCGCCAACGACTAAGCTTAGGGGAGGGGAGTGAAACTCCGGAGTGGGTAAACCACGCACCGTGTGGCAAAAGTTGGAGTGTGTCAGACCACAGGGGAATGGCCTACCCACTTTGGAGCCCTACACTACTCAAAGGCTTAGTCCTATTGCGATCTAATTAGTGCGAGGGCGCAGACGAGCAGGAATGCAGGCGCCGAATAGCGTTTACAACGAATTTAGTGGGAATCAGTCGTGGCGCCACCTGGCGCCAAATGGCGCCAGCGCCAAAAATGAATATCATATTCGTGATCAGGACCCTCGATAACCCCCATAGCCGAAGTTTCAGCGAAAATTATTTTTTGACCCATCTCACCCCTACTGGGGTTGTAATAGTGCAATAGTGCCGATGACGAAAAGGTAATAAACCCTAGAACGAGCTGAAAGTTAACCTAACAACCACGCTGCTGTCGGGGCAACCACGAAGAAAAAGCTGAACAAAACGCAGCGAGTTTTTTTTCTAAAGAAAGTTTAACGCGCGCCTTAGGTGGAAGCATCTCTTTATAACTGTGACTTATCTCATGAATTGCAGCTTTGTTACCTTCGAAGAAAAGGAGACTACGAGTGCCGCTGTTGCCAGGTGGGTCATTCATCTGCACTCCGTATTCGGAGCCAGCTGCACTGCAAGCGGATCAAATAGAGCTTGCAACACCGCAATGAAGAATGTCTCATGAAATTTAAGAGGAAATGCAGACAATACGACATTGCATTTTATTTTTTTTCAGCACTTCAAATCAATCCAAAACAGCAACATCAACGAGCAGCAATAAAGCAACACACACATCACATGAACAACGAGTATGGAAAAATCACGCATTTAATAAAGATCTGACAAAGGCAAACTATTTTGTGTCGTAACAGTCAAAAATCTTACAGCTACCAATTAAAAATTTAATCGCAGTTTTTTCTAAAACCGTCCATATTCTGCACATCATTGAATCATTGTTTCTATTGGATGGGCGCCACGAGGATTTCTTCTGGAAAAAAGTACACACAAATACGAAAGGTCATATACATTAGAACACTGCGCTCAGAACAGTTTAGAATATGATAGATATAATATAAATCTGATAGAAATTTGAATCTTCAAAGCCTGAAAAATTGAACAAAGATGGCATGGAAGCAGAATGCGCACTGCAATGCCCCCTCCTACCATTGAGAACCATAACTTCCATTACACGGGAAGAATCTGACAATCTTATCTGAATCTTCCACGCTGATGAAATGATCAACAATGGACGACAAGGTACACTGGAAATGATCATCTTGAGGATCACACAGATCAATCAAACCTTTGCTGGTGACAAAAGACCGCATTTTGTAGCTGGCTCCGAATGCAGAGCCACCAATCTTTATCAAGTATGTCCGACCATATTTGAAAATTTTATATATTCGGTTCAGTTGCGCGTGAAAGTTTCTGCTCCCAAGCTATTCCGTGGAGTGGTAGAGAAGAGTAAAAGTGGTACCAAAAGCGTTATAAGGTATTCCTATCCTGGTGAGTGAGCGTGGAACGGGAACATCTCATCGCTACAATGGCCACCACGTATAATTACAATTTTCAGGGAGCACGCTGTGCTATATCTTCGAGCATGCTTACGCTAAGAGGAGGGTGAGAACGTATTATACCGCTGCAGGGAATGCAAGAGAAAGGGTCACACTACCAGCATTCACGTGAGAAAAGTCATCATAAATCATAGTACCCATCCGCATGATGTAAGATTCTAGGTGGTGAACGCATGTGATTTTGTTAGAGATCCCGAGACTCTCCCCCACCTATGTTTACCACTGGATAACGCACAAGATAAGGTGAATAGGATTGTATACGAGGTAAGGAAAAAAGATTCTCATTCATATAAAAGGAGCTCTCGCAAACCGATAACGCTTTTCAGGCATGCCGAGACATAGCTGCTGACCCACGATCGGCCACAAGAACTCCGCGGCAGATCTGGCAAGAAATAGCTCAGTCCGTAGAGAGGGCGGCAGAAAGTAAGCCATGTTATATGAAAGTAGAATGCACTTACTCAAGCGAACGCATTTAGATGAAGCCGAGTGTGATGATATGCTCCATCAGTTCTGCAGGGACGGATATGAGCGCAGGCGGAGCACCCTAAAGAAGTAAAAATGCAGATGATCAAGCGTTCAAAATTAACAAAATAATCATCAAAATCCAAATTCAACCACAGTGTTTCAGGGCTGTGGCAAAGCAGCGAGGACCCTGCGCCACTATGAAGCACGTTCCACCACAGCTCGCTTTCCTCCAAGACGGAACGCCCTTTCTCCAGTATTCGAGCCGAATTTGCACATTTATTATTCCGCTCGAACAGTGGAGGTGACCTTTTGTGATTGAGCGGACAATTTATTCCGTGTTTTACTGGTTAACGGTTTCATTTCAGAAGGCGTGTCAGCTGGGGCTTTGGGCGTTGGTGGCCGATGGGGTGCACGACTTACAGCCAAAGGCCATCTGTAAAACTGGTAAGCTCTATACAGTCCACGGTGTGGTGGCTACATCCGTGGACTTCCCGCTGCTGTACGCCATAACTGTCAGGTAAGATGAGGTGTCCAGATGTGATCCCAGCAGCATAGTTTCGACATCCTATACCTTCCCTTATTTTAGGAAAACACAGGCGGTCGACGAGCGCATATTTAAGGCGCTAAAAGATGCAATAATGGCAGTGGCTGGGCCGCAACCCGTGCGTATAGTGCTGGACTACGAGATAGCCGCCATCATGGCGGCAAAGAAGATCTTCCCGAGCGCGTCCGTAGAAGGCTGCGCTTTCCATCTGGCGCTCTCATGGAACAGAAAACGGAACGCGCTCGGGCTACGCCAGTACATACGCGGCCCTCGAAAGTCTCCAAGAATGGAGAAGTGGTGGAGTACCATCAAAGGGATCCTGTTCCTCCCACCACACTTGCATTGGAGGGTCCTAGCGCTACTCCGCCCCCTGTACCCCAGCAGCACAGTGCCTATTGGAAATGCCACATGTTCCTTGAGTACCTTACGACAACGTGGTACAACGGCCTTTTCAAGGACATGTGGTGCAAGTGGGATGTAGCAGAACTGCGCACCTCGAACGCTGCAGAAGCTTTTCATAGGTAAGATAATTTCAATTTAGAAGAGCGGCCTAGTTTCTTGCCTTTTGAAATGAGAAAATTTTTTATACAGGAGCTTAGGCACGCTGCTGGGTGTTAAATACCCCCGGATGGGAGATCTTATCCATGCACTGCAGGGGTGTGTCACCACCGCAAGAGGGACTC